CAAAAACGGCAGGAGAAATGTATATATATATATATATATGTGTGTGTGTGTGTGTGTTAAATGAAGATAACTATCAAGAATGACAGAAGAAATATATATACTTATAGATATATATATATATATAATACATGGAGATAAGCACTATCAAGAATGGCAGAAGGAATATATATATATATATATATATATATTTGTATATATGAAAACGAGGAAACGGCTCCCAAGAGTGGCAGGAGGAAGCAGCTTGCAGGCAGATAAATGAAGGCAACAACTGCCAAACACATCTGGTGATTGACATTGCCACACAAACAAACAGCAACTCGCCTTAGTTCGTATAGCTAAACGAATCCGTAGGCATAAGCTGTGAAAACAATGGTACCACTACCGCAGGTGACGACAACAACCACAACCGTACGTGCACCAAATCAATAGCACTCAATATAAATACACCAAACTAGAGCGGAGTCTACAGAGCTCATAAACTACATACATATCGGAGAGTAACAATATCCCAGGATACCTGAACCAGACCCTAAACCCTACCTGGTTTACGTTGATGACTCCAATAGGCGTTTCAATCACCGCCCCTATCGCAATAGACTGAGAGGCGTCGTAAAACTTTATCATATCCTCCATCGCACAGATCTGATCGGGATATTCAACCTTTGGCAAAATGATGGCGTCTGGGCCTGCGGCTGCGATATATTTGATGTCATCTTCACCCCATTGCGAGTTGAGAGGATTGATCCGTACGGCGACCTGGGACATACACAGTGGAAATGTTAGATGCTGTATATAGAGCACATACTATGTATGTTCGCATATAAGGGTATGTTTACTCAAATGATATATATATATATACATATATGTATATATATATATATATGTATATATACAAATACTAATACTATATATATACATGTATATATATATAGTATTAGTATTTGTATATCTATATATATATATATACAAATACTAATACTATATATATATATATATATAAGTGTGTGTGTGTGCATATTAAATATATGCATATGTATGCATATATATATATAGATATATATATATATATATATGTGTGTGTGTATATTAAATATACGCATGTGTATGCATATATATATATATATATAATATATATATAATATAGATATAGATATATATATATATATATGGGTGTGTGAGCGTATATATATTTATTGTATGTATGTATGTATATATATATATATATATATATAAACATACTGAGATTGCCGAGACAATAGTACAATAGGCATACATCTACAACGTATCCCTAGAAATAAGTGCATGGCTATCAATCAGATGCATATAGTATATAACCAAATCTGTAACCTACACCTCACAGGCACAACTTGACATCAAACACCGCCATCGTGAATTGTTACAGCATACATACCTCTCGCTTGCCGTACTTTCTAGCCCGTACAGCCTCAGCTACACTATTACGCGCGTCTACTTTAGCAGAAGGTGTCACTGCATCCTCCAAGTCGATAATCAAGGAATCGGCAGGTAGTGTTGCTGCCTTCTCTAACGCACGCGCATTACTTCCAGGAAGATATAACATGGACCGACGAGGCCGCACACATGCGTGTATGAGCTCGGGCGTACGCTTGAATATGGTGCGTACGTGGACAGACATGGTGTCTCGTGTGTATGTATGTGTGTGTGTATGTATGTGTATGTGTATGTGTGTGTATGTGTATGTGTATGTGTATGTGTATGTGTATGTGTATGTGTATGTGTATGTGTATGTGTATGTGTATGTGTATGTGTATGTGTATGTGTATGTGTATGTGTATGTGTATGTGTATGTGTATGTGTATGTGTATGTGTATGTGTATGTGTATGT